CGTTATGTGATTTCTTGTTGCACAATATGAAGAAAAGAAATTAAGTGAAGGTTGTAGCCACAAGCGAGAGTATTCTACTCTGTAATCCTCGCCGTTTCCCCACATTCCGCCGTGACATGTCTGTGTCTACCCTATACTCGAGGAGCACATAAGCCTTTCTTACTGTTGATAACCGGTGTATTATGCCTTTGTTGGATGTCAAGATAATCATTATATCTTCGCGTTTCCGAATTCTAGCCATATTTTCTAGTCACTTACCGGTACCTCATATCTTCGTCCGCTCTGCACTGCATGTCAAATTAGTATTTGCTTCGTAGTATGCTACCAACCTCGACCAACGTGTCACGATCTCTTTCCTCCATGATGAACTAACTGACTTAGGAATGAATGATGTCAATGTCTTGTAGAGTTCGGACATGGCATGAAGTTCACCTTCCACTATTCCGCCCTACCGGTATATCTTCCGTAGCACACTATATTTCGAATGTCAGGTTATTCTAAAGCAACTCATGAGGCGATTGCCGATTGCCTCTAGGAACCAACTTTTACAGATCCATCTATATATAAGAGATGCGAGCAGTGAGAATCCGTGCTGAGAACCCATAGTTGTATTGGCGACGATTAGACTGAGAATGGCAGAAACCCCAGTGATGATGTCGAATTCAAGCCAGGAGGTATTATCGTTGCTAGTAGTGTATGTATCTATTGAAAATGGTCAATTGTTGAAATTCTTCTCGGTAACTAGATTCCTTTGATGATACATTCATCTGCCACTTTTTATTCAGCAGAATGTACTGACCAAGGTAGTGACAGAATATACCAGAATTCACTACTGTTATAATTATATACTCGACATTGATAAAGAGATATTGGCTTACCGGCAAATACATAGCTTGTATTTGAAAAGTGCTATAATTCATAAGCTAAGCGACAGAAAGAGGCAATGAAGATAAAACTGATACTACGAATGAAGTTCTCGAGCTAGAGGGGGAATGAAAGCAAAAAGAAAACAACTTTGCAATTAGTTGCGTATACAATATTCCAAAACATTAGTCTTTCCTCTGTTTACTTACTATTGTGTCATTTCACTAACACTCGTTTAGTCTTTACTCGATAGTAGACTAATAACTCCGAAGTTTTATACTCGAGTACTTCTACAGCAACAGCTTACTTACTCGCTCAAAATTAACACCATTGAGTAACAAAAACTTGTTTCGTCAGTATCTGGATTCGTTTGAGTGCGCAAAGTATGAGATATAATTTCATAGAATCTGAGGATAAATCCGTACACGATGGATGGTTGAGTGTTAATGATTATTTCATGTTGATTGTGAGTAATTCTAGTCAACTACCTACCTAGTTACTAGTCTCCAGGTAGGTAGACGATTTAGATCCTGAAACTTTTTTATACGTTATGTGATCTTTCAAGTAGAAACATAAAATGAGTTCTCCTAGGCAAATATTGCAACAGTACTCGAGTACAGTACTGTATAAGGAAAACTGGCATAAGTGACTAAAAAACTTGGTCAAGGTATTAGTCGTTCCTTCCTAGTTTAAATAGACACACCCATTCCTCCCTATCCTCCCTGGTACTTACTCGTAGCAACAGAACATAAAAGGAAAGAACAACCTCCTGTTCAAACCCCATACCCTTTGAACAATCTCCTCATCTCTGTTTTTCTCACCCGTCACTTACAATACAATAAATACATCAACACAAAAACACAAAAGCACAATCCTCCTATCTCCAAATTACCACACTTTGCTTTGTTTTCTAGAATTGCTACTTCAATTACTTGCTTACCTGCTTGCTTGCTTGCTTCTCTTCTCGCTATCATATCAGGTCCAGTTCTAGTTCCAGTCCATCATCTTTCTCTCGCCTTTCATCTTTCACCTTAATCACTATTACATGCATTGAGTAAGATAGCCAGGCATGTGCTGTAAGTTTCTCATCTCCGACTCCTCATCTCTCACCGTGGTCTTCAAACATTCATGATCTGAGCTCGTTTCTAATATGGTGATTGTTGCATAGATCCAAAGTTTGCTAGAACTATGAATCTACCTCCACTTCCAATTCTGTCTCCGGCCGATCCAGAGACGACGAGACTCGTAAGTCTTTCATATTTGTCTTTCCCTTACCTTCTAGCCCATTCAATACAGATCATTCCATAGTTTGGAGTGGCAGACTACACGTGAAAGCTTTCAATGTTCAGAATTCCGGGAATCTTCGAATATTGTTTAGAACTGCAATTGGATTCAAGATCTCAAATGAGTTCAGCACTTCGAATGGATCGAACATCTCCGTTTCAAATGGTTCAACAATCAAGAATCCCTCATTACCATACTGCATTCCAGACTATCTTCAACCCATATCCAATCCGCTGCTAACCCCCAACAGAAATTACAGTTCCTCAACCTCCACCAACACCCCGAACCCCCCCTCGCGAACTTTTACCGCTGGTTCGTCCTCCACTGCATCCACAAACGCTCTTTCAAAGACGGTTCCTTCAAAACCAGCATCCCCTGGATCCTCTCTGGCCCCGGCGCCTGGAAAGTCGAAGACATCCTCTTAACCATGTGTTCCTCGTCTCTCATCACCGCTGCGGAAAGAAGCATGATCTGCACCTTCCTCGGCGAATACCACACCCAACTCGAAGCCGTGCATAAATCGCCCTCCACGAGTCTAACAACCATTCCATCATGGGCAGGCGTCAAGAGAATGTTCGATGTCAACGATCCCACGCATTATGCTGCTGTGGCTTCCGCCTTTGAAGATTATCCTCAGCATTGGCGCCGTACTCCTGCTCCCTTTCATCCTGCTCATAAGAGGCATGACGCTAGGTCCAGCGACACAACAATGTTGCGAGAAAAGAGATCTGAAGAAGAGTGTATCGTCGCCAAGTACAGCAATACAATGACGTTGCGAGACAAAAAGTCTCAAGAGGATATTCTCCAGCAAGCCGGCAGAAAGAGAGTCATTTCTAATTCGGCTGTTCGCTCGACAAGTCCCACAAAGAAGAATAAGCCAGATGTCAAAATGACCGAGGTCAAGGCTGCTGATGTCTTTTGATTTTCCCGTTTCTCTCACGATAATCGGGCTGTTGCTATTACTCGGTCTTCGATAATGGGGCTGGGTGCTTCTTTCAGAGCCCATATCTGGCATGCATGGGTGGCGCGGGTATAAGGAGAATTAGGTTCATGGTTCATGGTTCATGGTTTATGGGTGCTTTGTAATTCTTTCAATGGGGAGTATTTGTTTATGGAAGGATCGATATGATATGGCATCATTCATTAGAAGAATCGGTTATGGAAGTAGGAATCCACTAGGAAGTATGGTGGATTATTGCGGTTTCATAGATAATGACCATTAATCAAAACACTTGTTCATCTCATTGCTTCGTACCGTCCCCTTTCTGCTCATGCTTCTGAGATTTCTTGCATCATTTTCATGAGTGCGGGTGACTGTATCACTGCACTGCGTTTGTGGCATTGAAACAAGTGCAGAGAATGAGTATTCGTATAGTATATCATGCTATCGTTCGTATAGCGTTATGAGATATTTTCCCGTAACTAAGTAGGTATTCATTCGTTCATCTAATCGTTCCCATCAATTCGTTCATTCATCCACCTCCACCCATATCGACTGATTTTTATCTCATTTCGTCATATCCCATACCTCATACCTCATCTCTCATCTCATACCTCATATCTCATACCTCATACCTCATACCTCATACCTCATACCTCATACCTCATACCTCATACCTCATACCTCATACCTCATACCTCATACCTCATACCTCATCTCTCTCACATCTCACATCTAATTCCGTAGTACATAATCCACTCCCATTCTTCAAATTCTCCAACCACACCCAACCCAACCCAACAACCTTTTCAAATGCACTCCAATCCCATGCTCCACGCACCAACTCTTTACCCAAGTACATTCTAAAATCTAAAATATCTTCTAGGGTATTACCACCCACCAATATTGCATGTGAAGCTTGTTGTTGCAGATGAGTGTGATGACTGATAGTGACTGCAAAACCCCATATGCCCATTCAATCACTTGTACCAGATAGATATAGAAATCATGAAATCTGGCTGAGAAGCAAACCATATACACGTATTTGTCGATCCCTCAACTCTGTCTCAGTCTCGGTTTCAGTCTCTGTCTCACCATTATTCTCATCCTCATTCCCAATTCCTCCACTCATCATTCAATCTCTGAATTTCTCTCCCAATCCCCGGGTTCGAAACCATATTTTCCCTACTCTGCCTCTTCGTCGCCGCCACATTAACTTTCCATGCCAACTCTGCGTTTTTTCTCTCCCTCGCTTTGGTTGCTAGTAACATATAATCATTAGAATTACAAGCTTTTTGAAAAACGGCCCTCATTCTCGTGGAATACAATTGGCAGCTAGCTTTCTTTATAAGCTGTGGAGTTTTATTAAACATCAATGGAATTGATTTCCGATCTTCCAGTTCTGGAAGGACAACGTCATCGAAACATTCTTCACAGACGGTGAAGTCTGGGAGTTGGGTGATGATGTACCAGCGACGTTCGGGAAGTTCGTTGTCTTGTTGACATTCTTGTAAAATGGAAAATTTGCGGGCGAGTTTGGCGAGAGCGCGGGTATCGGGAGAGGAGTTGTGGTAGGCAGCACCATCCGCAGTCGTTTCCAGGGCGTCAAAGTATTGGACGAAGCGTTTGCTTTCGGAGCGAAGATCGCATATGCGGGGGATGGAGATGGAATATGCGGTTTCGACGGTACGGACGAAAGTACCGCGGATAGGGGGAAGGAGGACTTCGATTGATTTAACACATGAGTGACAAACATCGAAGTTTTTTATTGCTGATCCTGTCTTGGGATCGATGATGGAATTCCAAGATCGGTTGAATGCTTCGCGTTTTCCAAGGCAGGGTTCCTCGCTTGCGCCTACGTTCGCGAGACCATAGAAGAGACCGAGGTCCTTTCTTCGTTCTTTGATTGTTAGAAGCCATGCTATTCGATACCAGGGCGAGCTTCCGAAGTCACATATAATTGGAACATCTGGTCTGCGAGCAGCAGGTATAAATTGATTCCGAAACATTGTTGTGGCTATGATCGAACTGAAACAACTTGGACAAATATCGAAATTTGGACATTGGGGTAATGTCAACCAATCCTGGCGACCAGTCGTGGGATTCATTCTCGGACATGATGGAAGTGGCGTGACACCACCCCTTTCTACATCTTCCGAATATCGACGATAGCTACCAACAGGTTTCTCTTGGCTATTTGACGGGAACGGAGGGGGTTGAAATGGGGGAGGTTGCCAGTAAGGTTTGTCGTTAGGAGCTGGATACGGGCTGGACGTGCGGACATCCTCATATTGAGGTACAGCAGGGATGCGTCGGGTCTCACCCGGGGACTCTAGATCAATTCTAGCTGGGATTGGTATTGGGAGTGCGTTATAAGGGAAAGGGACCGGGATTTGTTGCATCTGTAGCATCAGTATTGGCTCTGGTACATTTGACTGGCGAGAGGATGGTCTTGGAACTAAACCTGGGCTCAAAGGATTGAGTCTGTCCGCACGAGGTAGTTCTTGTGAGCCATACATAGGTGAGACAGGCCTCGAACTAGGTCTCCGACCTTGAGGAAACGTATCCGCTCTTTCGAACGGCTCTGTTTTCGGTAGCTGGTGAGGAGATATTTTTGGCGAAGGAAGTGGGGATGAGAATTTTGAGTGATTCGCTGATCTATCAGATCTTGGAGAGTCTACCCTGCGCTCATAGTCGTCTTCCGGCCGTAGCTCCTTAGTCCTACGGTGTTCGTGCCGTCTACGTCCAGACCCTCGCTCAGATCCACTGTCTGCAAGATCATCTTCACTGCCGCTATAATATTGTAAGTTGGAGGTGGCCGATCTTTTGGGAGAGCGTGCACGTTCTGATCCTGATCCTCGCTCCGATCGGCCGGATCGAAGTCTCTCAAATTTATTGAGATCCTCGGGCGTGATTTGTGGCTGTGTCGTCCTGTCATTTGAATTTCGCCTTGATCTCGAGGGAACATCAAAGTTACCACTATACATTCTTTCTGCGAAGGGTGTTCCGGGCTGCGACAGATTATTGGGGAAATTGCTTTCGCTATTTCTCTTCTCGTTTATGGAGTTGCCACGTCTTCTCGAGCTTTCATGTAATGGACGATGCCGATGTGTGGGCTGCGCAACGGCCCCGAATGGCTCTTTAGATTGACCCCGAGGTGTATGTACTGCATCCGGGGAGAGAAAATATTCGCCAGCCGAAGTATGAGGTGCAGCTTGAGCTTTTGGGGTTTCGTCGTCATCCCTAGACCCGTATGCAGAGGCACTCCTTCGATATTGAGACGGAATTTCTCGTGGGACTTTTGTCTGTATATTTGGCAAATCGTGCCTACTTCTATTTCTTTCCAACGGCGGAAGTTTTAAAACAGGCTCGTCATTGGTTCTGTCTCTCTCGGCCTCGTCCCTTTTTGCGCCAGATTTGCCTTGTTCTGATTTGCCTCTTGATTGCCTACGTTCGCCCGTAGGTTGATTGGTAGATTTATCGGCGGAGCTTATATCGGTTCCTGGCCCAAAAACAAAACGGCGTTCGGAGTTGTCATCAAAGTCCTTGACCTCTTTTGGTCTTGGCGCAGCATGTAATCCCTCAGCCTCAACCTCGCTGACATCGGACTCAAGTATGATAGGATATTGGTCGATGACACCACGATAAGGAGGATCGTATGAGGAAACGGACGACGGCGGAGATTCTCGTGCGAGTGAAGCGGCCTCGTCCTCCACAATTGGTCTTGGTGGGGGTGGCCCTCTATACCGTACACGACTTATACTTCTTGCTCGTCCAGCATCACGATCGGAAGTCCTTAAAAGAGAAGATGTATAATTGTGTTCCGGGGGAGGACTCGGACTTCTTCTTCTTCTATAGCTAGAAAATAAGTTAGCGGATTAAATAACTCCCCATGAGTTTAGCAGAAAAGAAACTTACGGCGAAGGACTTCTCGCTCTAGAAGTTCTGAAGAATCCATTTGCCAACAGTTCGTTGACATCCCTTTCTTGTCGCCTTTCAGGTCTTTCCATGCCGGTATCTGTATGACTGAGCTGGTGAAATTTGGTATAATTGGATCAAGAGAAGAACTTTTGCGCCGTGATAGCTTGTTCCCATGCGCTTCGTGTGAGTATTGTCAAAAGAAGTGAAAGATAATAAAATGAATACAATTCTTTTCAATGTTCAAATCGTTATGATTTCCTCTCGTAAAAGCTTTCTACCAACAATTCGTATGCCGAATAGTGGTATTGGATTTTTTTTAAGTAAATGGGAGTTTGAAGCAGGATATGGGTACTTTCGTATTGACGGAATAAATTACAAGTGATGGATGATGACTAGATTCCTTCAATTCTGAGACACACGGACAGTTTTCTATGCGGCTGAAAATCATTCATACTACAGTAGTAACTGATCTTCACTGTACAATAATACACACAAAAGAAAAAGCTGGAATTTCGAACGAAAGAGTATGGTACGAGTGAGTATGGTACGAGTATTAGGATTGTGATATCTACTCGAGTATTATATCGTACTTAAGCATTGTCAACGAGTATCGGTATTAATATATTAAAAACTACTCTGCATAATTGCCTCGATAATCGAGACCATAGAACAGCCTTATCAACCCTCCATTTCAAACATCTGGCCCAGTAATAGTACTCGAGAACAGTTTGGACAGATTAGTTGCCGCAGGTCCCCGTAAATTTGCCATTGGGCCATCTCGATTTCCACGTGTTTTGCCCTATCAACTACCGGCATTATCGTCAGGAACCACGATGATGATTCCATAGTGGGTAGTTGAGACTTGATACTGAGTACTCGTACATTATCCTGACAAGATAAAAATAGAACCGGAATTTCCGGGGAAAGACAGGACACAGTATGTTCAAAGTCGACATTAAGATTGGCCATATGTAATTGCCACCGTATAACATCTATCTTGCCCGAGCAGTAATTCACAGCCCACACCCTAATCGTGGAGGAATTCTTGAATATCCTTGTCCTCATCATCCTCTTGTTGTTGTCTTCTCAGCTTCTCCTCCTGATCTAAAATTTTCCTGATTGTCTGCCTCTGCTTCTTTCGTGCCTTGCCGCCCCATTTCACGTCATTCGAACTGGCTTTCGCATCCTCCTCGCTGTCCGTATCCTCGGGGATTTTGACTGAGTCTCTGAAAGAGTTTGCGCCGACGTGCTTTTCCTTCTCCTTCTTTTCCGCATGTTCACCCAATGCTTTAGAGTATTCTTTCTCCTGCTTCTTCGCGCCAAGCTTGATGAAATATGGCCTAATGAGAAGGTATGCTCCAACGACTGCGATAATTCGAATCCATTTCTGAAGTTCCATCGTTTTCATCTGTTCGAAGGCTCCCGTTACATTTCGATAGAAATTGGTAGCTCCCATCTCCAGGAGATTGGTGATAGCTTCCGCCATGCTTATAAAGTTTGCTTTCGACCCGGGGTCTAGTATAGTGTTGTTGGAAGACTAAGTTTGGAGAAATGAATCGTGTTGCGGTTGATATTCTAGGGATAGGGAAATTTGGCGTGGGTGAAGATCCTATGCCGGTGATAGAATGATTTGAAAATTGAGATACAGAGTCACCGTGAGATGGGCTTATGAAATCTTCAAGTGTGAAGAGAATAGAAAAGGTGTCCTCTTGAAGAATTTATTTAGTAGTTTATTGCCAGCGGAGTGAAATGATTGAACTAATAAAATAAATGTGGACTTTGGAATCATTAAGACTTTCCGGCTGTCGGGGGCTTGACGGCTTGACTTCGGCAAACGCGTTCACCATTTATTGATCTTAACGCGACTTTGATCTTTAAGTTACCAGAGATCACCTCTTACTACGATACTATTTACTATTTTCAAAATGCCCCAGATGGATGACGACCTGCACGAAGTGAGTTGTATGTAGGAAATTCCATGCGTTCCAACTACTAACAGTAGCACTTCCAGCGCCTAAAAGCAGCTCTTTGGTTTTCAATTGGGAAGATTGTGGATGAGGAGGCAATCCGACTCAATTCGAATGCTACCAATCAATTCATAGGCGCATTAACTGAGATGGTATGGCATCAAATCGGTATGCTTTATACTCTATGCGACTATATCTACCTATCTGTCGATGTACTAGCTAGGTATCTAATGAGGTTTATCACAGAGAACGTAACGATGGACCTCGAAAGCTTCTCACGACATGCTGGACGAACGACCATTACAACCGACGATGTCTTACTTGTTACAAGAAGGAATGATGCGTTACACGATATCATAAAGAATTTTATCGATCAAGAGAAAGCGAGATCTGCGAATGAGAAAGGAAAAGGTCGCACGAAGAACTAACGACTTCCTGTTCTTACTTTTTCAACCTTTTAAAGCTACCAGATACCAGATACGAGATACGAGATACGAGATACGAGATACCCAGGCGGCGTTAGGAAATATGATTATCGCAGAATAATTGAGGTTTACAATTTACGTTTTATATTCGTATTCAATGTTACCATAAGACGGTCTTACACATTAAATGATACCGTCGGATACCTAGATTGGTTCATATTTATATCTTGGTATTACCAACACTGTTACCAACATATCGAATCCTTTCAATCTCACGAGTCAGTGTTGTTGTGCTCAAACCTCGAACTGTGTCTCAGAGTTGTTACTTTCTCATAACTGGCCATCAAGGTTTCCCCGCACACCCCGCATGAATGGATGCATTTGGATGGAGTAATTGGATAAGGGAGGGGTTACTGCGCCGCCCAATATGGTATGGACTCCATGGTATGGTATCATCGTAAGTTGAATAATGGAATGCTGACACTCTCATGTTTCCTTTCTTTCTTAAAGCTTATATCTTCACACTTCAAACAACTATATAAACAGCAATATAAACAATAATACATACCTTCAAATCGAATCTGATCTGATCATCATGGCCAAAACCTCTGCAGCATCAAGAGTATTCTCAATTTCCGAGCTTCTCCACGACATTTTATCTTATCTTCCACAGTCTTGCCTATTAGTTACAGTACCACTCGTCTGTAAAGATTGGGCCACAGCCCTCACCTCACCGGGTCTTGAAAGAGCTCTATGGTTTCGACCTGCGACACATAATGGGCCCTCGACATGGTCAAGTCTGCTAGAAAAACAGTTCGGTATATTCTTTGACTTCAGTCTTCTATCAAATGGCCACGTACTCGACTCATCCGCATTTGATGCACTACCTTGGAAGCAGAATCTCGACGCATTCGTAAGTATTCACAATTCAAGGAACTCTTTCGTTCTAGACTTATAGTTTTCGTGCTATATCTCAATCATTCTCTATCAATCCCAGTTATTCATTATTTGAAGCTACCGTAATCAGCAACTTACTAACACCATGTTTTAGAAGAGAGCAGATGCAAGTTGGCGTGATATGCTCGTATTCCAACCACCCTGCTACCACTTTGCGATAGAGAGGATTAAGCATGATCGAGGTGGACTTATGCACGAGACAGTTACTCTTCCCTGTCCAGATGGCCTTAGAATGGGGATGGTCTGGGATATCGCCCAAGAATGGTGCTTACGACGGAAACATTGGATACAAATGACTGGTCCCGAGGTTGAGAAAGAGTACCGAAACCCTGAGCTTGGATATTCTGAACGAATGGTTCCAAAGATGATACTACACTGGCATATAACTTGTCCTCGTCGAGGTTCCCAGCCCAGTTTAGAAGATGACTGGGTTAGTATGGGCAGAGAGGAGTTTGAGTTATTCAAATCCGAGCGATGACTCTCAACATCAGGTCTGCTTTTCGACTGATGAATCATATATCTGCTCCGACAATTCTAGATTTTTTCAGTCATCGATACGCCTCGCATCACTAGGAGACTTTATAATGATCTAAGTCCCAGTCGAATGATCAAACGCACCTAACCGTCGAAATTGATATTCGAACACTTCTTGCTCGGACAATCTCCCTAAATCACTCGAAAATGCTCAGAACACCATCACCCAAAACCAGACGTCCTCGGATGTACAAACCCTTGAAACTCTTATCTGTACCCGATTACCTCAAATCACACGAATCTTCGGGAACCGTACCCAATGTTACCGACAACGTCCAAACTGTCCCTTCCTTGGCCGACAGACTGGAATTATTCTTTAGTAAAATCCAGCACTTCGAAACTTTCTCCCGAAACTTCAAAATGACCAAACTCCAAACCATAATCGATGACCCCCTGCTAGATCCCAAGTCTAAAAGCGACGCCCTTGAAACAGAAACTGCCCTGCAAGAAGAAGCTGCTTTACAAAAGAAGTCAGCCTCAGAAGCGGCCAGAAGAATCGAAAACATATCTTCCAACCACACATCATTCATCAGCCCCAATGATTTTGTAGGTCATGAGCAAAGATTCTGGGCGACATATTACGCCCTAGTCTCTGGTATCCCGCTTGTCGATCCGACCAATATCAAAGAGCGAAAAGAAGATGAACCCTGGGACATGCTTGGCGGTGTTCCTTTCGTGGGTACTTTGTCTATTCCAAAGCCGAAACCAGGCGTAAACTCTGAAACGTTTGAGTATGCTTTCCTCAAGCATCGCGCAAGCATGGCTTTGCAGATACTCGCAAAACGGATCTTGAAGGCCATATTCACCAGATACTCCGAGTTTAAGGTATATTGGCAGGTAGTTAAAAATAATTCCGACCCGAAGATTATAGAGGAGTTTCATGATATTTTGTTTTTCGAGCAAGACTTGAGGCTAAATTTGATGAATCGAATTTATTTCATTGGCACGATCTGTCTCGAAAGGAGTGTTCTCAGTCTAGTAGGATCGGATTTAGGAGGCTATTGGGAAATAATGTCCAAGATTAGGACTCCGGACGTAATGGATATCGAGGTTACTTCTCAAAAGATGGACTTTGAGTGGACTTCACAGGCTGAAGTACATCCTGAATTTGAAATCGCTTCGGATACGCGTAACAGAAGATATTCTTCCGAGAAATCCTCTACACACGCACATAAGAAGATTAAGCTTGTGAAGGTTCCAGAGGACTGTACTGTAGATTCTTTTAGATGATATGATGAAAGTAGATGTTTGGGTTAATGAGAAAATCGCTTTTCGTTCATTGATTGATTTATGCAATGTTTTAGTGGTGCTAAATTCTTTTCGGAAGCAAGTGATTTCTGGGGGTTTTTGCAGATGGTGAGGACATGTGAAGATAAGGATCTTTCTCCTCCGATCAGCTTCTCTGATTGTAATCTGGTAATTTGTTCAATATGGTAATCTAATCATGTCAAGTCAACTCTCAAGACTTGATTACAAGCGTTTCTCTATTATTACTCTACTCGAGTAATATCCGGGCATAATTAGACGAGTGAGAGTCTCGCATCGCAGTTTAAAGTTTAGAACATGGAGTATGGAGTTTGGCTTTAGCGGAAGGAAATCCTGCATTATATTGTCTAAATCATCCGGGTTTCCTTCTTGATTTCTTTCTTCATGTGTTGATTGTGATTATGGTTATGGTTGTTTGTATGTGTATGGATCCATGATTCCTCAAGTGAGGAATGGGAATACTGTATTGACTGTTCTTATATACTTATATGCTTATATGCTTATACTTCAAGTTGCGGTATTCTATAAAATATATATATAGTTTAGTGTTTAATTTTCAGCATTCATATTATATTCGCAGCTTATACTCGAGTATAGAAGGAACGGAAACTCTGGTTTTGATGTTTGTTTGTTTTTGTTTGGATTCATGGAGTTGACTTGAGAGTCTTTGCTTGGGTTGGGGTTGGATAGGAAAAGAAGAGAAGAGAAGAGAAGAGAAGAGGTCTTGTTGTGGTGAGGTGGGGTGGGATGGGATGGGATTGTTGTGGTTAGGGTTGGGGCTATGTGGTCTGATGTGACGATGTGGCGATGTGATGAAGATATAATGGCATTTAGTGAGCTAGGTTGAGCTGAGTAGAGGTTGTGGGTGTGTGTATAGATGGAGGGAGATATGTATGCAGAAGGTAACGCAGTGCGTACCGGTAGGTGATAAGTAAATACCAGTACCATACGTACTTTCTAGTAGAAATTTCCGTATAAAATAATGTGCTGATTCTGGCACGACAATGCGTAGATACTGAGTAGTTAGTGCTATTCAGATCTTCGTAGGAGTTGAAGATGGAGGTGCAGTATCATAACGTACCAGTGTGTCCAATAGTCTTGCAGTCTAAAGTTCGGACGGCAGTCTAGACGCTAGTCGATGATATGATTGCCAGTGGACTTTATAGATTATTGGAATGAATATAAAACAAAGAATCTAGTTTAGTTCATCTAATATTAACATATGATTAGAATTGGATTAACAATCTAGATTAGCTAGATTACAATCCAGCCAATCTATCTTCAAATATCACTAGATTAATTAATATTACTTTTTCTTGGGTTTCGACTTTTAAGATGGACTATTTGATTCAAATTTGATTCAAAAATACTAGTATGTTCTGTAATCCGGACTTCTGGATATCCTGTAAGGTACGCGTACTCGATTATGAAAGCGTGACGGCGAGAGCTTGTTATACTTACTACTGGTTGTAGGCTTTAGATTACCCGATTGCCTGGGCTACCTGTGTGAGAAGTGAATAGCAAGGAAATATACTATTCACATATTTATGATAGTATCATGAAAGAGGATCTGGTATGGAGTTGTATACGGATAGGCTGGCGGGTTGCTTGAGTTGGAGGCTTGGAGCTAGGGAGTAGATTGTGCAATGGGTGGAAGGGGTTTGAATTTTGAATGGGATTCTTTTATTGTTTGGCTATGTGAATATGGCTGGTGTGAATAGATGATGCTATTCACGCTTTGTACGGTTAATATGCGCCGTGATTGCATTGATTCCCGTTGGTTGCTGAAGTCGAAGCTGGGAGGTGAACTAGTGCAACGAGGGAGATTTGAATGAGATCTCTTCTACCGTTCGTTCGGCTATATATTGGGTGCTATTCACATTTTATACGGCTGGTATGTGTTGTGATTGCACTCGTACGGCAATGTAATACCTTGAGTTACAAACCGTATTATATTGCCAGCCAGATTCTGTCCATAAAAGCCTCTGAGATTCTTGAGCTCCATCTTCTTTTCCATATCGAAAACATCAAAGTCCAATTCTCATAAACAAGCAAAGCAATACTCCCGCAACACATTTTGGTTTTTGATATTTTAACAGTCAATCTATCCCATCATTCAAGTTACCAAGAAAAAAGCAACTTCCGCCTTCGTCTTTCTCGCAAACAAAATCCTCAGAAATATCAATCATCTATCCATCTACCAGCGATCAAATTCTGCATTGCCAATCATCATGTGCACTGCATATATTACCACGTATACGTGCCTGCATTATCATACAACTAGTAGACATTTGTGCAGAGCAGAGAGAATAGGAGAGTGCAAGGGTATCGATGATATTTATGAGCATGTTCAGGGTATTTGTCCCGCGTGTAAGGTGCGTAGAACGCAGGGTTTGAGAAGACCGGCTCATTGAGTAAGGGGGTTGGTCTTACTAAGGGAAAGTGGAGGGAAGCTGGGGTTTGGGAGGATTAGGCTGCGCAACGGGTACCCGCGGGGCGGATTATTGGCCTGGCGGGTCCCCCGCGGGTCCTCCGTTTGCGGGGCGGATAATAGAAAAATCTGAATGGGGACCCGTTGGGTATCCGCTGCAAATACTCCGCAAATACTCCGCAGATATAAATTTTATAATATTTATAATATTATAAATATTAATATAATATTAGTAAAATATTAGTATAATTATAAAAATATATTAGTTTTTATATTAATCCTTATATTAATTATATTAATATTATAAAAATTAATAAATTTGCAGAGTATTTGCGGGGTCGGATAATTTTGAAAGCTCAACGGGTCCCCCGCGGGTCT